ATATATATATATCTGTGAAGGTGAGATTTAATCAGTATATCCTGTAACTCTTTAGAGAAATAATGATACAAATAACATGTAACATGTTTACCCAATTAACAATAAAATAAAATAAAATAAAATAAAACAATACAGACCTATGTATGAAAGCTTTGGCCTAAATTTGGCCAGATTTGTCATTATTACCCCACTTTAAATGGTATCGTGCTTTTAAATCCATACTTTTCATATTAAAATCATTCAGTTGTGCTCTATACTGTATAACGTCAAACTCAAATCCTAATTTCTCCTTATTGTATCCTAAAAGCTCCAAGTACACAACAAAATGTATTTAAGTGCTAAAAAAGTGTATTTTACATTATATGACCCCTTTTAACTTGTACCGGTACTTCTGAATTCCCTAAATAAGAATGAATGACACAACATGCTGCACTGGGAGGAAAGATGAATAAAACTAGAGTGAAGCATTATTCTTATCCTAAAAGAAACAGAAAATAAGTAAATAAAAAACTACCTTGATTGCAGCTCAAATGTCTAACACTCACACACTCACACGTAATGTGCTGTATACAATATGTGGTGATATTATAGAAATACATTAGGAAATCACGCTGCTTTATCGCTTTATCTAGGACACTTACTGCACTGGGGGATATGTGACTGCTTTGTCTGCAAATATTCACCCTAATTTACACAACACATACACACACACACACACACACACACACAAACACACCGAATACACCCACATTCACAATAATAATGAGCCAAATCTCGGAGCTATGAGGTTAGCTGCACATGAACTGATTCAAAGTGGGAGCACACCTGAGGCAGTGATGACTTCAAGCAAATAAACGCATTTGTTCTTCTATCCTTGTGGGGACTTTGTGTTGATTTCCATTCACTAACCGGTCATGTTTATAGCCTAACCCTGACCCCTTACCCTAACCTAACCGCCCCATTACATACCTGACCCTAAAACTAACCTGAACTCTATTCCCACCTTGGTCCTAACCCTAACCCCTGAACCAGCAATGACAGTTACCCCCGGTGGGGGCCAGGATTTTGTCCTCATAAGTAACAGTCAGTCCTCACAAGGCTGTGCGTACCAGGAAAATGGTCAAAAGTTGTCCCCACCAGGTAACAAAAACGTGTACACACACAAAGCAGTAATAGGGCTGTTATAAGCTTTATTTTGAATATGATTAAAAGAAAAGCTAAAGAATGGGTAAAAATGGAAGCACTCTGGCGTTTTGTTGCTTCTCGGTGGGATTTGGCATTCATTCAGACCCCCACCCCCCCTCCATTTCCTTCCTCCTGTCTCGTGTTGTTGATTTGTTCGGCCCTTCTCGCCACATAACTCATTTCAAAGGGTAACGACTGATAAACGATTACACACACCACCTTTTCACCTCCCTCTCCCTTTGTGTGACTGTCCTTTGTTCCTGAGCTACACACAAAAAATATATATACTTCTAACAGATCCATCCGGTCGAGGCCATAAAGATCCAAATTACTGGCCAGACTCATTTAGGTTTATCTAAGGTACGGTCTCATTTATAATTCTATATTTGCAGGCTTTGTGGTGATGTTTATTAATTGTAGCAGCAGTGAAAGGCTTAGTGAGTGAATGGTGCTGTTGTACATGTTAATAGAACAGATCAACACTATTTGTTGGGGGTTTCAATGGTTGACAGCATTTAGGATACAGACTCCGAACCTTCTTCTGTTCAATTAGAAATAAAATAAAATCAGGTGGGACATCATTTTTAAATGATTTCTTTCTACTTTTATATATGCATGCACAGATGTAGCAGATCTATATCAAAAAATGAATATTAATGCATTCAGTAGCTTTTTCCTCTTTCTCTAAAAGCAGGGTTCGTGAAAACAACACTATGACTTGTGATGTCCTCAGAGAGTCACTACTTAGACCATCTGACTGAGCAAAACCACACGACAGGCTGCTTGTTAATCTGCAGCACTGCTCTGTGAGTTTTTGGAGACTTTATGTACTTCAGTGACAGCTGAGGCAGTGCCAAGGTCACATTTTTTGGGAGCTTCTGACTTTTTAATGAAGTTCAGTTCCTTAGACAAATAAAAGTGCAGAAAAGTTTGTAAAAAAAAAAAAAGGAGAAAAGCGAGTAGAGAAAAAAGAACAAAAAAAGGGAGTGAGAAAGTCTTCCTGTTCTTGCGGCCACTGACACAAACACAAGAGACTTTCAGCTCTCTGAATCTTATTAGCCTGTCCACTCTGTCAGCCTCTTCTCTTTCAATCATTTACAAGAGCTTCTACCAACTCTGGACCATAATTGCTGTTCTTCCCAGCTGGATGGAAAAGAGGAAAAACTTTTGTAGCGTTTGAGAAAGAGCAAAATGTTTTGGACAGGGGAAGAAAAGAACAATAAATTAGTTTCTTTGGTTTTGTATGTGACCATCCTTTGTTTTGGTTAGCAACTTTCTTCTTATCAATGTGTGAGATTGAGAAAAGTGTTTGTCGCAACCTTGTGTGCTTGGTTTTACTGACGTCTAAGAATCTCTTCTACATGCAAAACCATTCAGACATCTGTTTGCAGAGATGCATGCAAACAATATGAAGAAGGTAAAAGTTTCACTAACAATGAACATGACTTGATTCACTCTTAGGGGCTGATTTATCAACACTTTACTATGTATAGATCCATGAGCAAACATAGTGCACAAAAAGCTAATGAATTAAGGGTGCACATCCAGGATTGCATCTGTCAGATGAGCAAAACGGCAGCCGCAACACATTCAGCATGTCTGCCTTCATGAATATGTAAATTATTTGATGATTAGCAGATCACGCAAAAATACTGGGTGGAGGATCAGCAGATATAATCATTTTACACCTGCAGTGTGATTTATCAAACCTTGAAAGTGGTTGCGCCGCTGTTTCAGTGTCTATATTCAGTACATTTGAAAGAATGCCTGTAGCACAGCAGCTTAAAAAAGTATAAACTCCATCTCACCTGCAGGTCAGTCTATCCACCCCCACCCCAACTTATCCAGAAGGACCAATCATATAATAGTTTCTTATGCGGGGGGGGGGGGGGGGGGGTGAAAATTCACCTGGCAGGTTGTGACAAGAAGGGGTGAAAGACTTGACGCTGCCAACAAAATGGCGTGCATTTCGTCATGCAACTGCAACAATGACAGATGTATGTCACAAGAGCTTAAGTAGTGACAGCAAGGCACCAGACACTAACTAAATACTCAAACTGTAAAAACTCCAAATAGTAAATTAGACTTCAAACTGTAGAGCAGAATATACAGTAAGTTAGCCAAAGATGTGCCGAAACGTCTCACTGTAAATATCATTGGGTGGTTTTATCCTTTTTATATAAGTAGCTAAGCAACTTTATGGTTGTTTTGACTGAAATCAGGGTATTTTACATGTTGGCCCAGATAGAGGATAATGCATTTAAAATACAGCCATGCTGAATAAACTTTAACATAAATTATTTTTGTATAAAATCCATCTATTGAGTATCTTTATCCACTTCTTCTTTCAGGATCATTAGTGTCCATATCCAGCAGTACCTGCGCGAGAGGCGGGGTACTCCCTGGACAGATCACAAGTCCATCACAGGGACACGTAGAGACAAATGAGACAAAAATAACAAGTCACAATCTCACTCACAGGGACAATGAAGAGCCAAGCAGTCCTTGTTTTTTGGACTGTGGGAAGTACCTGGAGAAAACCCATGCATGCACAGAGAGAACATGCAAACTCTGCCCACAAAAGTCCCTGGGTGGAATTGGATATGGCAACGTTACTGAGAGGGAACAGCTCTAGCAGCTGAGTCACTGTGCAGCCCTGTAGAAAACTACCTGGATAATTTCAAATGCCAAAGTTTTGAAGTGAAAACATTATGCTTACGAGCAGGGCACATGCACACAGAATCACATCTATCTCATGCCTGCACTCATCAGTCTCCTTCTCTTTCAATTAAAAACAGTCTAATTAAACGTGCTGCAGTGAAAACCAAAACTTGCAGTTCTGTGGATTGCCCCAGTCTGTTGGAATGACACATTAAGACAGCTTTGTCATTACAAAAAAATTTAATGAAATATGTGGTTTACCAGCATGTTATTCTGAGAAAATCAGTGCCTCACCACCCCATGAACCATACTGCATGTCATAATTGTATATTATACACATTCTGTTTATTATAAGAATATGTAAAAATTAGTAAGTCATAATAAAAAATTATTTAAAACCCATTTTTGAGTTATTATTTAAAATAATCTATAATAAATTAAGTTTCACCAGAAACATTACAAACGTTTCTCTGTAGCTTTTCTTTTCATCTGTAAACAAGCTGAGCAACAATCTCTGATCACCAGGAAATGTTTCCTAGC